TCAATATGATCTTCTAATAATTGCTAGGCCACATTTATGCTGAGAATAAATATCTTTCTTGCACCATGAATGGTTTTTTCGACACAATAATACACAAAGAATATGTTAAAAAGAGAATTCTTTCTTTCTTTCTTCACCCCCAACCCCCCCGCTTCCTGTGGGAAATATGTGAGATACTTGCAGAAGTATTACGAGGTAGCTAGCCAACCCCATACCCTAAGGGAGACATAGCAAAACCTTGACATAACCTATTTTTAACCATGCCTCTGGCGATTCTGCATTCAAGTTTATAGGTGAACATGTCAGGTAGTACATAGGAAAAAGCCAAAGACACACAGTATTAATCATAATTCTGTCCAAGCCCGTTTTATTTTTTCAACATTCGTGATTTAAAATCTCATGACATTTCTTCAAGGTGAAATTCTTCTACTGGACTTTTCAACAGAGTAGGACTACGTTTATCTAAATTAAATATTGCTTACAGTAAAGCTCTCTAATGCTTCACAAGATAACCAATAAACTCAATGCAGTTCATATTAAAATAATTTAAGTTTGTATTCAGCTAAAGAAGCTTTAGTGATTAGCAACAGACTATTAATACAGCCTTTAAATAAGACTATCCTAGTATCGCTGGATAAGAACATTGTTCTGTAAGCGTATACGAACATCATAATTATTTTACAACCCCATCTTTAGTTCTTTCAGATATAGTAAATTCAATTGACCATGAAATGAAATTTCGTAGTCAAAATGCCTCCTTTACATTTTTTTATTGCCGCAATAAAGTTTTTATAGCTCCAAGGCAAGGTAATTCATGAAATGTCTAATTTAAAGATGAATTCTAATATTATTAATAAATATTTACCAGTTTAATAAAGTGCACATTTTTCACATAAAATATGATATAATGTTTTCATTTTCTATTTTTGAAATACAGATTAACTGCTGGAAAACTTGAGTACTAAAGAGAGCTATGTGAGTTCACACGAAACCTATGCAAGGACCCTCTGTTAATGTTTTTAAACTTCCTGAAGCTACACAGCATTTATGAGCAGTCATCTTGACTACTGACTAAAATACAATGGCAGGGGCCACTCCATCTCACAGTATAAAACAAATCAAGCACTTGTGGGGAAGTGTCTGACACACGAACTTCCCTATGTGGCTCCTCCATATCAAATCACGCAATTCCTCATCAATCCTCTGCAGCAAAACTACACACAAGTTCCCAACCCACAGCTTTGAACTGGCAATCACGCTAGAAAATACCACTGACTACTGGCATAAGGTGGCATGAGCCTCTCTAGAACTTCTCTTTGACCTATACGGGAACAAATTTTTACCACTGAAGTCAATGTAAACTATGCCATTAGTTTCTACATTGCACGGTCTAGAAAAAAAGGAAAAGATGTAAAGACTCTCATCCAGTGCAAGAAGAGGTGAAAGAAGAGATATCTAACCAGGAGGCCTCTTCTGGTGGGAACTGTTAAGGTGACAGCATTTACTCATGGAAGAAACACATTCAGTGAAAGGACGTAAAATTAAAAGGCAAAACTGGGTCAGGTTACAAACCACTTGATAACATTGAGGGGATACTCACACATGTAACACAACACTGATCCAGCTCATGATACTTATTACATATTTCTGAGCAAGTCTCATTGTATTCAGTGTACACACGCTCCATTACTTTAGTTTTCAGGCATAACATTCCTGACCCTCAGGTTTTATTAAACTGAGCTTTCTTTAGTAGTCACCCAACATGTCCAATGCACGCAAAATCCCATGCAAAATGGGATCTGAAAAGAAGTATCATATCTTTCAAGGCCTGTTTTAGGCAGTCCCTGCTTTGTATCTATGGAATTACTGAATTCTGTACCTCCTAAGTAGAGAGCAGTTTGTGCTTAATTCTGTATTAGTGCTAGCTACTCTTCATGAGCTCCAAGGAAATATTAAAATTTGCAACAAAGCCAGCAGCCTGCAGAATTCCAGAGAAATATTTGCTGCATGTTGATTTGTAAATCTTTAATTAATTTTTGCTTGCCAGAATAATAAAAAAGAAAAAAGATTTACATTAAAGCATAACATGACATCACGATGACCTTTATTACAATCCAGCAGTAAATCTGTGTTTTCACTACACCAAGTTTAGCATAAGGTCCTATATAAAACAGCTAATCAGAAAAAATATAGTTGCTGTAAAATATCTGTTCAAGCTAAACATTCACTCTGTCTTCAATATGCAATACAGAAACTAATTCTAATTGTAACCACTGAGTTTAAAATGCTAAGTATGATAAACTGACTCACAGCGGTGTCTCATCACTGCGAGTATGAATGGTACTGCACAAAGCTTAGAGGAACCCAAGCAGGGAGATCCCCCAAAGCTGAAAGGGAAGTACAACAAGAAAGTGGAACCTGCCCCATATACCCTCCCGCTGAGATCACAGCCATACAGTGTGTATCGATTCTGGAGAAGACTCCATACAGCCCTGGTTTTGATTCTTTTAATTAACAGGAATGATCACTGGAATTAGCCTAACAGTCCCCGTCACTCAGCCCTTCCGCACACCCGGATCGTCCCTCCCCATTCCAGAGGGCTCGGAAACAGCCCAGGAACAGGAGAACAGGCCCAACCTGCCCCAGCCGCCATGGTCATCAAGAGCACTGGACAGAACAAAGTCTTTTTATGGCCCTGTATTTCTGATACAGAAATACATCCGTATCACTTCTATTATGAGTTTAAAAAAAAAAAAAAAATATCAATTTCCATTTATAAAGATTTAGGCCATGCAATACACAGAATATAGGGAAATATATGGTTTTTTTCTGCTGGCATACAGTGTCTGGCTCCCTTTCTGAGCTACTCTCAATACTGCATGTTCAAAACAGCCTGATGGCTGTCAGATGTGGGTCCTATACGTGAAATACAGACAAGCAGTTCCTTCTGATCGCTGTAGTTCACTCTGGCCAACACAATGGTCTTTCAACTCTTGATGCCAGTGTCAATCGTGTAACACATTTTTGAACTTTAGCAGCACTTGGGATGCACATGATGCCAATGGATATGGGCTTCCAAGTCCATTCCCAAAATTAAAATTCTGTGTTTATAAAGCCTGACTGCTTCTTCACAAGAGATCTGTTCACACACAGTATAGCATTGCACTGTACATTAACAACTATGTTTATCTTCCTGAATCCACCAATATTAAACCCTTAACCATTTGCCAACTGCCTTAGGGAACTGAATAATAGCATATCGTTGTTTGCTGTGTAACACTGACAACACATGTCATCGTTCATACAGAATACGTCTGCACGTGATACAGAACATGGGCAAATGCTTGGTCAGGCTACAACACCAAGAAATCATACAGATATTCTGAAAGGTCAATTAAAACTGTCAGATGATACAAATCTACATTACTACGCTTTGACAGACAATATTAGGCAACGGAAACACACAAAGAACCGGACCTACCATATGCAATCCATTGCTGTGGATGACGCCGTCTTGCTCCACGAGATTCCGGGATATTGTAATAGAGGGAAGATCCAAGCTCTGGGGAGGAAACTGAGGTGTAAATTCATTTCCTTGTGCAGGCAGCTGGTCACCAAGGCCCTGAAAGGGCAGCAGTATATCTGCCATCCCCAGTGCAGGGTCTGACTCGGGCGGGGGGGTAATGGGTGGGATTTCGAACTCCTCGTCCCCAAGGCTCGGCGTATGGAACGTCTGCTAGAAAAGGACAGGACAAGCATTAGGGCACGCTGCTCTCAGCAACCACCTCTCGACCTGCAGTCCAAATCTTGTTTTGTTCTCAAATGCAAACTCTATATGCAACAACATTTTTAAGTTTCGTATACTGAAGGGGTTTGTGGATCATTCTGATTAAAGATTTAAGTCTCATTATCATATGGCTTTAATGGAGTATCAGTATTAACAGTTTTTTAATGCGTACTTAATTAGTAACATCTGTCTTTGTTGTTAGTCTGAATATCAGCTACATTGGATTTGGCTGTATAACAAATTGCCACTTTATTGATATGTTAGTAAAATAGCACAAACAGCTTACATTACTCTCATGGTTCATAAAATACTGACAATTTTGTAGCGCGCACACATAATTAATTCAGCACTGACCATTTCACATCTTTTGTTTCCTTTTTATCCACTAATAAACATGAAACATTATAAATTCTGGTCTTCATTTCTTTTTTTTTTTTTTTTTTTCCCATCCCAAAAGTACAATGCACCCTTTTAAACAAGGGTTGTAATTTGGAGGAGAGACTCGTATAAAAGAGCGAGGGTGATTACAGCAGCTTCCAGTGCCTTCTAAAGCAAGCCAGCTTTGTCTGAGCAGTAGGTTTGTTATGGACTAAACACCTGTTAAGATGCCTTGAGCAAAACATTTACTGCCAGTTATCTTCAGGGTTTGTGCGTGTTGGTACGTGTGCATGTGTCTGTCAAAGATAATCTTTATTCAAGTAGAGTCTGTATCTGGCTTCGACATTGCTGACTTTTACTTGGGAAACAAATGAGCTATGCTTATTCAAATTTCTTGCGAGTTAAATGAACTTTCATGTATTATTTCAGGTCCACTGCTACTTAATAATAGAAATTCAGTGCTTGAAATTAGGCCATTTTAAATGTACCCAAATCAGGACTGTCTTGATAAAATTGGGCAGTTGGCAATCCTAAAATAGGCACTCTTGTCTTGTTCTGGACATGCAAGGCTGCTCTGGGATTTGTTTGTTTGCATTAGTTCAGGATTCAAGTTGGGGGGGGGGGGTGTTGTTTTATGTATTATTTACATTGTTTGAAAGAGTGACTTAATGCCAGTTAATTTAAAAATGATATGTTCAGTGAAAGATCTCATTAACTGCTGCAAATTGTCATCCTTCAAACTGCTAATGATGATATAAATTAATAACCGCTTGAGAGAAGATGGAAACTGAAACACAAGGAAAACCTTTGCTTGCATATAGAACCTGTCAGCTGTCATTATTGGTCTCACACCAGAAATGATGAGGTCCCAGATTGCTGCAGTCTGCAGCACCGTCAGAGTCTGCTGAGACTCTACCCATCTCGCTCGAACTGCAAGACTGTAACTTAATTCTGGATGTGAAAGCTGGGCCCGGATTAGGGAGACGTTTGACTTCCCCGCTGCTATATTACAAAAGGTGTGAATTTTTCTTCCTGTGGACCCCGTAGTTCACAAACACAAAGGATGGATTGGCCAGGAGAAGTGGTTGGCTAATGAACATAACCCTATGGCTGCATTTGCAGTTATTTTGGCACTAATGTGGTCTAGTAACAGATGCAACTGTAATTTGTGACTCATTTGCTACCCCATTACTGCTTAATGAAATCTAACATATCACATTAACAATACGGATAAACACTCATTCTTGATATGTGGCATTTGGCTGTTTTCATTACCACTGTAATTAACACTTGAAATATTATTTCAATAAATATTTAAGGTGCTTTAAAATGGGTCATAGTAATCATGACATAGAGACAGAAAACATAAAGCAAATGTCTGGCTTCTAAGCCTGAATATGCTCTAGGATTACACTCTTAAGGCATTATTTACAGGAATAAAATGGGCTTCTAGCTCAGCAGTGCTCAGGCCCAAAATCATAGCAAGAAAGCTACATTCACGTTAACGTAAAAAAACTATAATTAAATACATTGTAATGTAGTAATTGCAAAGTTAGGTTCACGCTTTAATGCAAACACTAACTCTTAATGATCTTTTTATTCCTTGTTCAAGCAAAAGGGTTCAGTGAAATCCGTATTATTATAGGACATTTGAACCTCTCTTTACTTGACATATTTATGAGATAGTAGTAATTATAAGAACTGGATCTTTTTTCCCCATCTAACAGAACAGCTCTAGGACAGCTGTATAAATATATAACACAGCTAGATAATAATACAATATTTTACTTAGAAAAGTAGCATTCATCTTAATACTTACAGCTTACTACAAATGGGAGAGTAAATTGATGAATATCTTAACATTTTTTAAATGTTAATTTAATTCTCACAATATAACTTGTCCAAATATGTACATATCTTTTTTTAAAAGCATATAACGGACCTAAGATTGAGGATAAAATAGATGTAATCTAAGAAGAAAGAAAGCCCCTTAGTGAAGTAGTCTTAAATCCAAATCACTGGGCTATTCAGTCTGCAAAAAGAGCGTCAATAGTATGCAATTTGGGATTGCAGAAAGGTGCTGTTATGACCGAAAGATGGTATAACATTTGTGGGATTTATCCTACCAATCACATTTTTTAAAGTTATTAACTTTTCAAATATTTATATCTTACACATTTTTAAAAAAAACTGTGTGCATGGTTAAATGCCATCTGTACTGAAATGTTCAAAACATTTGTTCCTTTTGATAAAAATGCAAATCTGGAGAACTGTTGTATCAACATATAACAGCCAATGTCTGACACGGTGAATTATCACAGCTGGAATTAAATTGTCTCTGAACAGCTGCTGGCAGCAGAGCTTTCATCAATGTTTGATTCAAATGTAGGAAAGAAATTCTACAGAAAGAAACATCATGTTGTCATTACAGATGGGGTTTGTGTTCATTATCACAAATAACACTGGAGCTAGTGCCAAACAATATTCCCTTATCTAAGCAGTCTTGCTGGGTAAAAAGAGATGGTGACCATTCTATAAATGATCCATAAAATATGACTCTTAATTCTAACCTTCATATTTATTGTTACACCTTTCTGCTTATTTTCTCCGAGACCGCTTTTTCGTAAGTGCACAAGAATACCCGCGACTGAATCGTCACTTACAACATGTAAAACCAAGGCTGCCCAGTTTTCTAACCTTTCTCATGTTGGGAAGATCATTTATGGCATGCACCCTATATAAATACTTACTTCTTGTTCTCCACATTGATATGCACATTACTAGTCAGTGCATCTTACACTTTCTGTCCTTCCCTTTGGAATAAGAGCTGTTGGGTTTTAGTGATGAGCAAAGGTGTTTCTGTCTGGAGCTGGGGTCAGTATTAGCATGTTGATAGACTATTAACTGCCTGTAAGGTGGCACCACTGTAACATATACATGGAGACCGTAGTTGCAATACCTTCCTCCTGTTTCCAGTCTCAAATCAGTGATCAAATAAATCACCTCCACAACCCAGCGAGCCCCCTCCAGCCCAGCCCTTGGGTTTGTTCTTGATCCTGGTCAGAAGTTTCCTTCATGCAGCACATACACTTCAGGCAACAAAGCTGGTTTTGGTTTTCTAACTTATATGAGTATTAAGAACCCAAATTAAAATGTTTGTATCTATAACAGAAATTAGCACATTAGCTAGTAATGACTATTACTAAGCTTGCTTTCAAAGTGTACTCCTACTGTGCTTTTTATTTGTTTCCTTCTGTTTATAATTTTTTTCATACATAAAGCAGATTTATTTCTATTGACATGCTATGTAAGTAACAGCCTTATGGACAGCTAAATTGACTAGTAATGGAGAGCTGTCAGGTTATTTTCTTTCTCATTAAAGTCTTTATTTTGTGCTCCATAAAACACACAGAAATTCGGCACTTCACTCTTCATCCATTCAAAGTCTGTTAAATTATCACAGCAAACAGCAAAATATGAGCATAGATAAAAAAGAAAAACATCTACCTCATTTGCAGCAAGAAATGCATTATTTGCTTCTGCCATGTTCATGTAGTTGTTATTGTTTCCAAACTGAAAGAAAAATAAATATTTGGATTTTAATGCCTGCCATGATAAACTTTTCTTTACCCCATCACTGGCATAGAAAAAGTTGAAAAAACCCCAAACAAAACCAAAACAACAAACAGATAAGATGTAATTTTGCAGATGTTCTTTGAAGTCAGAATTAGATTGGATTCAACATTATTATTATTACGTACTCTGCATCCCCAGGTCTGTACATGGAAGATATCCAAGTGTATCTCTTCAACTTCCTTTGTCCATGTAGCAAAGCCACCCCACAGACCTAGAGGTGCCTTTGGAAATTAAGTGTCCATTAGAAAGAGACTATTCTCCAGAAAAGACCTTTCGACTCTGCTACATCTTTCCTGACATGCATTATAATATTTCTGCAGATGATCCTGATCCGGAGGATTGCTGCAGCTAGGAGTAGCTGGTGTATTACTATTCCAAGTAGACCTGGTTTTAAAGAGACGAAGGTCAATAAGGGGAAGAATGAGAATCTGCAGCGTTGTTCTTAAAATCCCATTCTTGCCATAAAATTAAAAAGCCAAACAATCCCCCTTTGTCTCTCCTTCATTCCAGTTGAGCTCCCATGCCCCCAGTGAACGTTATCACCAGAAGATTTTGCAATTCAGAGAAACTGTATCACACTGAGGCCTTGAGATCTACCCAGGGTGGAGCGGGCCGAGTGCCCACTTGCTCCCACTGAGGTGCAACTCCTCTCACACACGAGTGATCTGAAAGGATCCTCTCGGATGCCTCAGAGTCATTTCCTCCAAATTCTCAAGTATGAACATTTATTGAAGAAGATAAATACTTTTTCTTTTACAGACTGAGCATAGAAAAGAAAGAGATTATCAGCATTTCGTTAGCTGGCACTCAGTGTGCCTCATTCCCTTAAGGAACACTTCCAAAAAGCAGGTAGTCTGGTAACTATTCCTGCAGGTGTTCCCGGAGCAGGCGGGTGTCGAGAGCCTTTGCCTCAAGGAACAGATACCACACATGTCACGCAGCTACCACTAAAACACTAAATCACAGGCTTTCACATTTTCATGTTTCTATTATCAGGCACAGTGCACACCGCAGAGTATCAAATGAGAGAAAAGTCCCCGTGCTGTCCCTACAATGCCCTGCCACATCACTGCTGCTAAAGCCACACTAAGCTTTCTCCCCTTAATTCCCATTTTCGAGTTCTGTAAAGCAAATTTTTTTCAGAAAGGCTTTGTTTTACCTTGCCAGATCATGGTGGACCTTCCCCCCGCCCCCAAACCACAACAGCAACCACCACCACCACCACCAGCACAAGCTCTGCAACAAGTGCATGAGGATGGGTAACCATGCACTTGCGCAGGTTGTTCTTTCCAAGCAAGAAACTCTGTTGTGCTTTCAAAGCAGCTGAACCTGTCCCAAAAGGAAAACCGGTTTGCTCCAGCTCAATTCACTACTGCAGTACTTGGTGCCTGACTGTTTTTATCAGGGAAGTGTTTCAGACCCTGACTCTCTCCAGTTCCTCCAGCATCCCAGAGCAGTGGAGGGGCCAGAGTGATCCTTTCGAGAAAGGCTCTTTCTCTGAAAACTCCAAAATCCACTTCTGAAAATAAGACCAAAAGTTAAAAGGAGGGGGAAGAAAAAAAAGAAAAAAAAAAAAGAGGAGGAAACTATAGTGATAGAGGATTAAAAAAGGAAGATGGACACAAAGAATTGGAGCCTCGTGTACCTGATGAATTGTCTGATTGATAAAACTGGACATCAACAAAATCAGAAGACAATCATGGGGAGGAAGGAATATGAGATCACATTCCTCATTCTGAAGTATGAAATTCCATTTGTGTACTTAACATGCTGAATCTTTCAACTTATAACACATGTTAAGTAACAGAGGCCTTAACACAATATGTATGCTGCCTCATAGCTATTAAAACTCTGTTATCCCCAGCTATGCAGATACTCAAGTAATGTCATCCATTTTTTAAAAGCCCAGATGTCACCCATTTTTGGAGATTACAAAATTCAAATAAAATTGCACATTCAAATTACTGTTTTGGCACATAAGGATGTGTGTGCGTGGATTTGTTGCACAAAGACATAGTACTTCAGCTCAACAGTGAGATCGACACGATAGATTTTTTTCATGTCAGTTAGTGGCAAACTAAGAAGGATTTACATGAAAAACTCAAATGGCTCCAATAGAGCTGTTCTTTCTGCAGCAGCAAACAAAAAAAAAAAAAAAGGAAATCAGGTTTTCAAATTATACCTAAGTGCACAGGTACAATAGGCGAGTGTAGCGCTAGCATTGGATAAATTAGTGGGAACAAACCCTATCCTATTTTAATGAGCTTAGCATCCTAGGGGCTCCAGTGCCTCAAAAATGGAAATGTAGCTGATTTTTACCTTGAAGAGGAAAATCCTACATCATTTTGATCTACACTTATTCCTCACGCCACAGCTACTGCTGTTCTGATTGCCAAGTGGGTTTCTTCCTTTTTGTTTTATTAAAGTAAAACAAAGGGGAAAGTGACAACATAATTTTCCATTTTATTAAGACTGTGGAAGCAAATGACCTAACGAGGAACGTCAAAGCTAAAAGTTACAAGTACGTATCCTTAGATTCATCCTGTTCTTGGGCTACAATATTTAAGACCCTATTGTGTATGACTCAGGCACTGATGTCAGACCTGGCATATTTAGGCTTTTGTTAGTATGGATCATAACTAATATTATTTAAATTTATTTTTTGTCTCTGAATTAGAAATCCATTGAAGGCACACAACAATTATCAGTGAGTATTTCTAAGATTACTAAGATTAAACTTCCTTATTATCTCATCGTACCTATAGCAACAAAAGAAAATAAAATGGTTATTATCTTAAGGACCTAAACAATTCAAAAAACAAATGAAGCTTAGAGTGAAATAAGAACTGGGTTAGAAATCCTCTTCTGAACAGTTAGTCTGCGAATGTAATTACTGAAGAAACTACAGCTAATCAGCTGTGAATTGTATCCATTAATTAGTATTTGCCCTGGAGAAATGAGAAAAATCAGTAACAATGTTAACACTGCAATGCACTGATGACTACTGAAACACAGGGCCCTCAGCATTTAGTCAAGCAGGTGGCTCCAATGGTCCAAGTAATTTAAAAAGCTCTCACCTGAAGTGCAGAGCTGGAATTACAAAGCACTTCTTGCATATCTTTGTATCTATATAAGGCTATAATTAATGGCTTTTAATTTAGAAACACTTTGTGATCAGCTGGGAACAGTTATAAATCAATCTAAATAGAACAAGGGGTTCTTGTCTATTTTAGTAAAATAATTTGGGAAAGATGTTTTTTGTGAAATGACTCTTGTTGGTTGCAGTCAACATTTTTCTCCATTTATTTTCTAAAGGATCCCCTGCTCAGACCCCTCACATACATCTCAGAGCGTTCCTATAGTTGACAGCAGGCATTCAAATCAACGGCAAGATCCAGCAATTTGGTCTGCCCAGGTACACTCCTCTGGGGTCCCACCTGTTGGATTGCCCCGGGACAGAAAGAGAGTAAAGATGCAGCACCTAGTCCAGCTATCTTTTTGTTCCGTGCTGGCGTTGGGATGCTTTGCAAATTACTTAGCCATAGCAAGTAGCAAGGTTTTGCATAAACTTTTGCATCTGAATATCTCAGAGCACCCTCGCTCTGTAACTACAAAAGAATAAAATCTTTTCAGCTTCCTTTGGCAACACATACCATTGCATCCCCGCCAGAAAAAAAACCCCGCCCGCCAGAGAATACTGGCATGGAGAAAAGGGAGGAACTGAAAATTATTTTTTAACGGAGTTTCTCAAGAAAATGATAGACCTTCTCTCAATATTTTAGATATCTTTTTGTTGAAATGTAAAAAGTAGACAACAATTAAGTTGAAATTTGGAAAACTGAAGGGTCTATTATTCGTATTCATATCTGCCATCATAAATGCGTTTCCTGCTGGTAAGGAAACTAAGGAAAAAGAAAAGTTTTGAGAAGAGATCATTTTCAACAAGCAACAACAAGCTACACCGATGCAACAAAACCAAGGAATGATACTGACTCCTCTGAATACTGCACACTGAACCCTATCCAGCTAGTTACTTGGGGACATACGGATAAATTGGCATCTCCATGCTGATGGTTTGGTGATCTGGCAAAACAGAACCTTCTCCAATGGGAATAAGATTTTTTAAAAATTGCAGGCTCAGCAAAATGAAATCAATGGGGCATGGAGACCCTTACCTATGTCAGAGACACAAGAGCTCAGATGCAAACCAGACATGAGCTACCCGAGATCCTCAGGAGAGAAGAAGGAGTTTCAGACAAGCGTGCCATAGGAGAGAGCTCTGGAGCCCAGAGAAGCAACTGGGTCCTCACACAGGCCATGAGCAAAAGAGCCAGAATACAGCAAAACTAAACAAGCTAGAAGTAGACATATTTTGGGTGTGTGATGATGTGTGCTGACTGGCACCCCAACACTGGAACAGGTTGCCCAGAGGAGCTGTGGATGCCCCATCATTGGAAACGTTCGAAGTCAGGTTGGATGATCCAGTGAAAGCTCTCCCTACCCACAGCAGGGGGTGGGGTGGACTAGATGATCTTTGAAGGTCTCTTCCAACCCAAACAATTCTATGATTCTCTATGATTCTATGATTACAAACTACTATTTGTTTCCTTCGATTTCAGGAGTTCAACAAACTCCACCTTAAGTTTTGATAAATATATTAAGCATGAGTACCACAACTTCCTGCCACAACAAACCAAGGGAAACCACACGCATATGCTGATTTCATGAAATGGATTGCAAACAAACAAAACCTCTTCTGAACTTGTTGTGAATCACAGCTTTCATTCTTCATGCAAATCATTGCATTAAAACTATGACAGCTCAGTCCTCTACTCTTTTATGTTGCAAGGGCACTTGAATCTTGGCCCTACTGAAATCCGCAACAACCGACACGAAGACTGTAATGAGAGAGGCTGGATCTTTTCTTACTAATACCT